CTGAGGCCCCCTTATGATGTCATCAAAAGCGGAGTGACATGGGCCTGCATGGCAAAAGCAAGTGACACATGCGCTACTGAAACAGTTTTTCTTCATCCAGGGTTGAGCTGGAATTTGGTACAACGGAGAAGACGTAAAAATATGTTCAAATTACCCCATACTACACTACTGATTTACTTAACAGTACAATTTTCCAATATATTTATTATTTCACGTACGCACGCACGCACGCACGCACGCACGCACGCACGCACGCACGCACGCACGCACGCACGCACGCGCACGCGCACGCGCACACGCACACGCACGCACCCCCCCCCCCCCACACACACACACCAAGACGTCATTTATTCCCTCCCGATGTGAATTTTCGGATCTCTTGCAACAAAACATCTAAATGTTACAGGGAGTATGCGATTTCAGTTAGTTTGCAACGACCCTAGGGTGGTTGTAACCTCCCTGAACGATCAGTTTGTTTGCAACGACCCTAGGGACGTTACAAAATAACTGCTCGTTCCGGGACGTTGTAACGAAACTAGGGTCGTTGTAACCTCCCTAGTTAGTATGCAACGAACCTAGGGTTGTTACAAAATAACTAGGGAGTTTAAGAATTCATCGAGTCTCGTTTCACAGGAGGGCCGTCAACAATCTTGTCCAATGAAAATCTTGTTCAATCTAGTTCATTTAAAAAGAAAAGGAGAACAAAATTTGAACATTCAACTCAGGAGCATTTCACGACGGCCATCTAGTACACATTTTGTGCAAATTAGGTGCACATTTGTGCAGATTTGTTCAAATTAGATGGGCATTCGCCAGGAAGCCCTTCGTAAAATCAGCTATTATCCGCTCGTTTCCAGTCTTTTTTTGTGATTGTAAACGTTCAAACATGTGAAATAATGGTGGTCCCATGCATTATGGTGGGTATCAAGGTCACGTGAAGGTCAGGTCAAGGTCATTGACCTTTAATGACCTTAGTTCATTTCTTCTGGGTTCATATATTTTTAGGCTAGTTTTTGGAGCTGATTTCGAATTTAGCACCCATTTGAACATTACGAAGTAATTTTGGCGCCTTCGTAACATGTCACGATCACGAAGCTGTCAGTGGTGGTTGACAGCTGCTATGGATAGCTAGCAAGATGCGTACTGGTTGACCTGACCTGACCCGACCTGCCCTAAAAACATCAAGACATCAAGACCACCAGCGACAGCTTCGAAGCAAGTTGCATTGGCACCACAACTATACGTACTTCTCAAATGTTTCAACGAATGCTGGATTCGAAATAAGCTAAAAAAAATATACGCGAGTGACTGAGGGGGCTCTCCAGAGCCCCCTCCTATTTCCGAAACTACTGGGCCGATCGTCAAAATTCAAACGGCGTCTGATAGCCCTGGAAAAAACTGTCGAACGAAACCTACTTTCATTGACCTCGAGGTCACCGATGACGTTACAGGTCAGGTCAAAGTAAAAATTATCGGCATTTTTGCTTGCTTACAATGTAGGCTCTGGCCGCCGGCTGACAAGTCCGATCAGGCTCATTTCTGGTTTACGCACTCCTTGATATATGCCTTAGATACCCTGAGGTTACCAAACTCTTACTTCCAATTTTCCATGTCAAGGCCAGGTCATCCTAGGTCACGAAAATTGTATATCATGTATCGGTCACGTGACGCATGTTTTATGGTCCATTTTACACGTAGATTTCGAAAGTTATGTCGTCTGTGTCATTTGAGGTCATTTTCAGCTGAATATACCGGGGGCCTGGTCATTTTCAGGTCAGAAAAGGTTAAATTTTGAAAATGAAATTTTTCAACACAAAAGTTGCCTATCAGATGCAGTTTGAGCTCTGGAACACGATGGTGCCATTTATATTGCTGTAGGATGTCAAAAGCGTACTGAAAATGGTTTTTAAAAATATGTTATTGTAAAATTTTGACAAAAATGCAAATACTTGGCTATTTTTGAAGATATTGGGCTAAAACTTGCTGGAGTAGGTCATCAGTGTGAGTTCTATTACATATATTCCGGTTTTTGCGAAGAATCAAAAGCTTTTTGAAAAAATCAAAAAACATATTTTTGAAATTGTGAAAATATATTTTTCGAAATTCTCAAAATTTTGAAAATTCTAGAGGCAGTTTGATAGCTACGTGTATTTGTAGTCCACTGATACAAAGAAATTGGATCTAGCTTTAAAACTAAGCTCTTGAGAGCGTTTGCCGTAATTCAATAATTTGTATCAAAATCGGCCGACATGACGTCACTCTGACGTCATTTTCGGCCAAACTATGGTAGCTAGAAAGTTGAAATTTTAACACAGGTGTCCAATTGATGCAGCTGACGTTACTGCAAGTTTCGTGTTGATCCGTGAAACGGTTTAGAAGATATTGCCGAAAAACGGGAAGGGGGCTCTGTAGAGCCCCCCTCCCCCCCCCAGTCATGCGCGGGTTAAAATCGTAAAATTTGAAACAGTCACCCGAAGTCATCAAACGTCAATGACCTTGACCTGGCCGACAGGCGACAACTGACAAGTCAACTTGAAACCCATCATGATGCATGAGACAACCATCAGTTCACATGCTGGCACGTTTATATGTAATCACAATAAAAGTCTGGAAACGCAATTTTATGTGCGCTAACATAAACAGCAAATCATTTCGGTCTGCCATGGTCTCAGAAATCAGATCAAAGGTCAAAGGTCATTGGTTTCAGGATCATGTACTGTATAGGGAATGTGTAACCAGTAACGTAGATAAGTTCGAGGACACTCAAAGTTTCGTCACGATCGGCCGCTTTTAGCGCGAGATAATCGCGAAAAAACGAGGGGTTTTATCCGACCCGCACCCCTAAAAGTGTAAGGAATAACCCGCACACGGATAGCGACGGATATCCATCACACCTACCCCAGTAACTCTACTTTCTACATGTAAGCATATGCTGGCGATATAATGCAGCCAAAATTATCACAGTTACGTACCTTGTCCCGGGCACCACAAATACTCCTGAGCTGAATGTTCAAATTTTGTTCTCCTTTTCTCTTAAACTGAACTAGATTGAACAAGATGTTCATTGGACAAGATTGTTGACGGCCCTCCTGGGAAACGAGACTCGATGAATTCTTAAACTCCCTAGTTATTTTGTAACAACCCTAGGTTCGTTGCAAACTAACTAGGGAGGTTGCAACGACCCTAGTTTCGTTACAACGTCCCGGAACGAGCAGTTATTTTGTAACGTCCCTAGGGTCGTTGCAAACAAACTGATCGTTCAGGGAGGTTACAACCACCCTAGGGTCGTTGCAAACTAACTGAAATCGCATACTCCCTGTAACATAAACACCAGTATCTTAACCCGCGCCCGGCTGGGGTCCTGGATTTCCACGCCCTGCTGGGGGGGGGGGGGGGTGTTTGAACACCCCGGCCCCTTGTAACTCGGCTCCTGGGCCACGTAGCGATACGCGGAAGGCGGCGTTCGAAAGAGCATAAAAAATAATGACGAAATCACTTCCGTCAATTTTTTGGTCAGGTCAAAGGTGAGGTCACCAGAGGTCATTGAAGGCAAAATTTCGCCGATTTCCAGGTCGAATGTCGAAAATTTCCAAGAAGCCAACGCATACCTCGGGAACCAATAGAGCTACAGCGCCGCGGAAAAGTGCATTCGATAGCCCTATTAACGCCCTTTCTGAGTAATTCTCTCAGATTTGACCTAACTTCAACGGTTTTGCCTACAGGGGGCAAAAACTGCAAAAATAGCCGATTTTTTTTTGGAAACAGTTTTTCTGCAATAACTTTTGACCCAAGCCTTGCACGAGCTTACTTTTACCGGCATCGTGTTCCTCTGGTCAAGACGCATCGAATGAACTATAACTTGACCTTGAAAGGTCAACTTGAAAATTTGACCTCAGGTCAAGGTCATGACCTGACCGGAAAGGGTCATGTTGCATATCAGTAGATCCGTATCATCGAGCTGAACACATATAAGGCGTTTTCATCGCTCTAGCATGCCTCTATCAAAAGTTATTTGCGAAAAACTGTTAGATACCATTCGTGACCTAAGATGACCTCAGGGCACAAACAAGGGTCACGGACACCATTTCCATGTTCAGTGTGTCTAAACCACTTGTAATTCGGTGTTTGGGAGTGTTTATAATGTCTTTCGTCCAAAAGAGGCGCATTTCAATTTTCTCCCATTGACTTATTATAATGGGGAGGTCGCAAAATTGACCTGACCTTAGGTCACCGATATCAAAATTCTGAGATATACATTTTGTACATGCTATTGCTCTTAGCAATCGCTGAAAGTTTCAAAGCGATCGGTCACTCGGTGTAGCTATGACAGACATTGAAACTTTTCATGAGGTGAGGTCACTTCAAGTGACCTGGTGACCTGACCTTGAATGACCTTGGTCTGAAATTTTCACAACATGTGTAGAATTCATGTATGATAAGGTGTACCAAAAACAGCGGCGTTCGCGAAAAACCACAAGGGGGGTGTTCAAACACCCCCCAGCAGGGCGCGGGTTAAAGGGACCCTCCCACCTTAACATTAGTTTTGAGTTGAGATAGCCAAATTGGTGGCCATGGCCTGAAAATACCGGTTTGGGCACTCACAACATCGAAAAATGTTTTAATTCGGAGATATGGAATTTCAAACTTGCAGTTTTCGGATTCTAAGGGGCTAATGCATTGGTATGCCCCCTTAGAATTTGTGACGTCAGCGGAGATCTAACGATTTTTAAATCTTTTACTAAAACGTTTGGTAGCACGCGGTGGTATATGCTGCTTTGCGCGCAACAAATGCCGCACTTTCAAATAAAGTCGCTAGGAACAGCGGAGATCCCAAGAAGTAAACAAAAGTAAAAGTCTAATATCTTGAAAACCGGTGAATATTTTTCGATGAAATTTGGTAGATATTCGTTTTCGCTCTTTCTGAACCGAGCGACATCACTTTCATGCCAATTCATTAACTTTTTTGAAGGTGGGAGGGTCCCTTTAAGTAGGGTACTCACTTGAGTCGTCGCATCAGACCACAGAAGCTGATGTAGGCCTGTGCCTCGTTCTGAAGGACGTAGAGTAGTGGAGATACCAGGTCAGACATGCCTTGGCAGTACCCCACCGACGGGTGGTTCAGCGCGTATCTGGTAACACACAGGTATGCCCGATTACATGACAAAAAGTCAAAAGACAAAAAGTCAAATGCCAAAAAGTCAAAAGACAAAAAGTCAAATGCCAAAAAGTCAAAAGACAAAAAGTCAAAAAGATAAAAGTCAAATGGCAAAAAGTCAAATCCGCTAAAAGCCAAAAGACAAAAAGTCAAAAAGCAAAAAGTCAAATATGCACAAAGTCAAAAATGCAAAAAGTCAAAAATGCAAAAAGTCAAAAGCAAAAAGTCAAAACCGTGAAAAGTCAAAAAGATGAAAGTCAAATGGTAAAAAGTCAAATAAGCTTAAAGTCAAATGCAAAAAAGTCAAAAAGGCTTTAAGTCAAAAAAATAAAAGTCAAATGTCAGAAATTCAAAAGCAGAAAGTCAAATGGAAAAAGTCAAAGACGCTAAAAGTCAAAAGGATAAAAAGTCAAATACAAAAAGTCAAAAACAAAAATAATAATTGCATAAGGGTCAACACAACAAAATAATAGTTTCAATGGCAGAAATCTGAAGAATGGTGGTTCAATGACGAAATGTGACTTCGAAATCATTGAGTAGCTTTCGACGTGTCACATAGATTTCGACGTCGACGACGTCTTAGAGCATTTGTCGTACGTCTACCTACTTGGATTTGATTTGATACGAGATCCAGGAATAAATTATATGAAAAACTTTTAACTTTGTTAGCAAAAACGTGACCATTTCATGACCATTTACCCTTGATTAGGTCACTTGCCGTTGTGGGTACCTAGTCTTCTTGCTCTCCAAGGTCAAACGTTAGATGTAATGAATTGACTTTGCTCAAAATTTTGCGATACGTCGAAAGGTCCGTCTTGGATGGATCAAGTTGAACGTCTGTTGCCCAAATTTTAGCCTCCTATCACCACCTGTTTTCGAGGAATCCGACTTAATAGCGCCCTTTTCCCCGTCAGGCCTACTACGTCCGGTCTGAATCAACCCTCGCATGAGGAGGGGAGGGGGGGGGGGTGATGCAGCCCCCATTAGTTTCTTCTGAGATGGATGCTTAACAGATCAGCAGAGCTCGACAAGATTTTGCATTTCCTACGCGGCATCTTTGCGCAACTTAAAAAGAAAAAAAAATTGACCGGGTCATGTCAGGTCACAGAGCTATGACGTTATAAGAGATACAGCCTCAGGCCAGAAGTGCGTAAAATCGCAGATTATCGCGTGTTATTGGGAAATATCAACCACATCAATGACTTTGCTGGCTATTTCGGAGCATGAGTGACCTTATCAAGGTAAAAGGAAGTCAGGGGAAGGTCATTGACCCTTTTTTACCTCTGATGACCGTTCGTGACCTCGACTATAATGGGGTACATAGGTGTCCTAACTTCAACTTTGCCTTTTATTCAGGACGTCAAACCCACGCCCCGTAGGGAGGGGGGCGAAACGCCCCCCCCCCCGTCTTTTTCCGTCGACATCTCCTAAACGGCTGGAGATATCGCCACAAAACTTACAGGACCCCTTCGGGCATCAATTTTACACATTGTGACCAACAATTTGTCCAGAAGCTATGATAGGTTGGCCGCAAATGACGTCAGAATGACGTCATCTTTTGCCATTTTCGACCGAAAAAAAACTTCGCGAGAAGAGCGGTCAGGCCTACAGCTTTGAAGATACAGAAAAATGATCAGGACATAAAAGATGTAGAATTGACAGGACTACAAAACTGCTATCTGGGATTTTTCAATTTTTGAGTTTTGACCTTAAAAAATAAAAAAACATTTTTTTTATATATTAGCCAAAAAATCCAAAAAGTTTTTGAGTTTCCAAAAAAAAAAACGGAATATATGTAATGTCATAGTACCTACCGTCTTCTATCTACATACCAAATTTCAGATTGATACCTCGTTTTTTGGCCAAGTTATAGCGAAAACACTGTTAAAAAGTTTTGACGTCAAATTTTCAAACTCAATTTTTGGCAATTCTAGACCTCGTAGAGCAAAACAAAGACAAATATTAGACTCCCCGTGACGAGCTGCATCGAATCGATACCCATTTTATTCAAAAAATATCAACTTTGAAATTTTACCTAATTTGACCTGACCTTGACCTGACCTTCACCAAATCGTGACGTAGGCTGGCCCCAAAGGCTGCCTAACCCACATAATCGCATTTGTCATGTAAAATGGACCATAAAACATGTATCACACGACACTTTCATATTGTGATCCCCGGTGACCTGACCTCGCTGTGACCTGATCTGGTATCAGTGACCTCAGATAGCAAAGTATGTGTTTGACGAACAAAGTACCATCGATGGTTTTCAATAAATTACCAACTTACTCGATTTCACAACACATTTCTTGAAATGCCTGTGAACGGTGAAAATCCGACTCTTGACCTGACCTGTGACGTCATTGGTTTGACCTAGGTCAATGAAATTTGGTCACAAGGTAAATTTGGTTCAATACCCCGGTGGGGCTATCGAACGCCGTTTGAATTTTGAAAATCGGCCGGTAAATTTCCGAGATCTTAGGGGGGGGGGGCCGAAACGGCCCTCCCCTACGGGTGGTAGGGTACGCCGATAGCCCTACGGGGCGCGGGTTAAGAGTGTATAATGAAGCATTGTGATGCAAAGCATAAAATGGATTGATTACATCAGTTTCAGACAGGTACCTATCTATTAGGTCGTTCAATAAATAACAGTCAATGGTTATATCATGCTGCGTTCCCTTACAGGGCGTATTATAAGGGATTTTCACTGGGTCGGCAATCACAATTAGGGGCGGCATTTTGCACTCATAGGCGCGGCACTTGGCATCTGAGGGGGGCAGCATACCTACTGATATTTAATGACTTAAAAAGACACGTTCGACGGTTCTTTTATAACTCTTTCTAAGTAATGATTTCAATTTTCAGATTCAACCTAAGCTCAGCGGTATTACGTTTATTTTTCCGGGATATAGTATTTCTCTCGTCATAATGCGATAAATGAACTATAATTTGACTTTACAAAAATTAATTTTAAAAACTTACCTGAGGTCAAGTTCATGACCTCACCAGAAATAAAACATGTTGCATACCAGTCGATCCGTATCGTCAAGCTTAAAACATTCACGGTGTTTTATGGCTCTAGAACAGTTATCAGCAGGTCGCACGAGTGGTGCCCACTTTATGGGCGCTGGACGGGGCCATTACCACCACTTGTCATACTCCATTGCTTACACAGCAAGGGTCGCTGATATTCGGCCATATCCTTTGACGCCTCTATTTTCCTGCATATAAATAAAATGCAACACAATTAATGGAGATGGGAGGAGAGGGAGAAGGAGCGGGAGCTTTTTTATGGCGAGGGAGAGCGGGTGGAGTAAGGATGAACTCATACAATTTTTATTTATTAGTTACTCGCGTAACGAACAGCGTATTGCAACGATACGTTCATCCCCCCTCCCCCCAAGTTAATAATGTTATGCCTACCTACTCAAACATTTTCGTGACTCCAGTGACATTTTCATTGAGTTTTTGAAATTTGAATGACCTTCACTCGGTAACTTTCTCTCCGGCTCGACCGGCGCACAGTGTGGCCAAACGCCAGATTAGCGCGAATTTAATAAAAAAACGAATTTTGGAATTTTGACTTTTTATAACTATCAGTCGATAGGAAATTGTCCAAAGTATGTCAATATCACAATACTTTGGTTTAATGTCTTCCTTTCGGTGTCCAAAAAGCTAGCTAAAGTGGACATACGCAATGCCGGTCCCGGGTGTGCTGAAATCGTCGAAAACCCGCGTCATGTTTACAACACATTTTGGCGTAATTGTCGGAAAGGTTTAGAAATAATTGGAGTGGCATATGACTACTGAGCCTATATTTGATAGTATACTCGAATTCTATAGGTATCCTTGGACTAACCGATGAGTTATGCTCATTTGAAAATGACCTTTTCAAACATCCCCTGAAAACACTGTCCATCTTAAAAACGTAGAGATATAAGAAAATGGCCAAAAAACTCCACGCCAAATCTACCATGAGAAGATTCGCCACACTTTTCTGGACATGATCCATTCAAGAAACCCTGCCCCAACCTGCCCCCCGGCCTTTGGCTCAGCTTTGAACGTATCGGGTTGGCCCGCCCGGGGAGGTCCGGCTACAGGGTGGGCGCGGCGGCGGCTCCGTAACGTTACGCGGATGGCTCAACCGCTGTATTTCTGACTTGTTATATTGCAGAATACGGTCGCCAATGAATAAATCTTGACAATTTTTCAACCCTCGCCCATATAGGGGGTGAGGGCGGGGGTCGAAAGGACCCCTCTCGGTTTTTCACAAAAAGCTCATGTAAAAAGCGGCCGATCGCGACGAAACTTTCAGTACCCTCGAGTTTATCAATTTTACACCTACCCATTAAATTTCACGACCCTGACCCCAATGACCTTTGACCTGTGACCTATTTCTCGAGACCATGTTTGGCCGGAAGCGCGATTGGGCGTATGTTTGCTTGCATTAGCCGCGCGTTTGCAGTCTTTTCGTGGTTTCAAGCGTCTAAACATGTTATATTATGATGTTGGCCCCATGCATTATGGTCGGTGTCAAGATTACTTGAAGGTCAGGTCAGTTCAATAACCCTTGATGACCTCGGTTCACCTTTTTTAGTGTTACATGCTTCCAGGCTAGTTTTTGGAGCTGATTTCGAATTTAGTAATCATTTGAACATTTAGGAAGAAGTTTTGGTGCCTTCGTAACATGCAACGAAGCTGTCACTGGCGGTTGACACCTATTAATTATGAATACCCGGCAGGACTGGTTGGCCTGACCTGACCTGACCCGACCTACATTCGCGGCTAGCAAAACACCAATACGGGCGAGGGTTAATGACATGAAGGTGCTTATGGTGTGAGTCTTTGTTTTTACTCCCATTGCTGAGGTTCAGTCCTATCGGTGCGTGTATTTCAGCAACCATCTATTGATTCATGTGCTTCACCAGGAACATACACACAGAAACATAATTAGATGTTGAATTTTTTTCAAGC